GCGGGAGGGGTGGGCAGGAGTGGGGCATGCACTAAACCCCCAAAAAACACGCCAGTCTGACAGCAAGGCAGCGGAGGGGGTCGGCGGGGGGGGGGGGGGGGGGGGGGGGGGGGGGGGGGGGGGGGGGGGGGGGGGGGGGAGGGGAGGGCTCGGGCATGCACTCAAGCCCTTAAAACGCAAGGCAGCGGGAGGGGTGAGGAGTGGGGCATGCACTGGAGCCCTTAAAACACGCCAGTTTGACAGCAAGGCAGTGGAGGGGGTCGGCGGGGGTGGGAAGGGCGGGGGGAGCGGGGGCAGCGGGGGGGGCGGGGGGGGCGGGGGCAGCGAAGGGAGGGTTCGGGCATGCACTGGAGCCCTTGAAAACACTCCATTCTAACAGCAGGGGTGGGAAGGGCGAGGGGAGCGGGGGGAGCGGGGGGGGCGGGGGGGGCGGGGCAGCGAAGGGAGGGCTCGGGCATGCACTGGAGCCCTTAAAAGCACTCCATTCTAACAGCAAGGCAGCGGGAGGGGTGGGCAGGAGTGGGGCATGCACTAAACCCCTTAAAACACGCCAGTCTGACAGCAAGGCAGCGGAGGGGGTCGGCGGGGAGGGGGGGGGCGGGGGGGCAGGGGGCGGGGGGGGCGGGGCAGCGAAGGGAGGGCTCGGGCATGCACTGGAGCCCTTAAAACACTCCATTCTAACAGCAAGGCAGCGGGAGGGGTGGGCAGGAGTGGGGCATGCACTGGAGCCCAAAAACACGCCAGTTTGACAGCAAGGCAGTGGAGGGGGTCGGCGGGGGTGGGAAGGGCGGGGGGAGCGGGGGCAGCGGGGGGGGCGGGGGGGGCGGGGGCAGCAAAGGGAGGGTTCGGGCATGCACTGGAGCCCTTGAAAACACTCCATTCTAACAGCAAGGCAGCGGGAGGGGTGGGCAGGAGTGGGGTGGGAAGGGCGAGGGGAGCGGGGGGGGGCGGGGGGGGCGGGGGGGGGCAAGACTATGGGTCTTCACTAGCGCCTCCCCCGCTCAAAGCTCGGGTCGGCGGATAGGATTCAATTAGGTTTAGGGCTTCAAGAACTAGGACTAGGAATCTTCGTGGTATTGAGACCTGCTCTCTCGTGCGCGCTGCGTAGTTTTCATCAGAACTTGGATGCATCTCGGAAGTGCCGCCCCCTCTCCCGCGTCTCAAAAACCATCAATCTGTCAGTTCCGGAAGGAAGCAACAACAACAACCACCCTTCCACCCGTAGCAACAAACAATGATAGGAAGAATGACCATCTAAAGAAGTTACATTCACAGAATAGAAGCTGCAGAAAAGAATTTTGAAACATTGTTAGGCTCGACCGTGATCACCCTCTTAGTCGCTCCCCTTGGGTCGAACTCGCAACCCAGCGCAGCTTGGCCGCAGGCTAGCGGCCGGCATCCCCATCGCCCTCTTCATGTGGGGCAGCGGCCTCGTCAAGGCCCAGCTGTTGTGCGATGTACTTTATATATTATGTATACATGAATGTGTGAGCACATATATATATATATGCATATACACACAGACAGGTGCTTGCGGCACATAATCCGTTAGAATCTATGCAGAAGCATCTATATATATTTATTTATATTTACTTATATGTATATATATATATATACATATGTGTGTATATATATATATGGCTATATATTTATTCACTTATAAATTTTCATATTTATAAGCGTGTGTGTGTGTGTGCGCGCGCAGACCTGTCTGTTAAATGTACATAAAGCTTTTCGCCCGTTGATTTAAACACATGCCCTGAGAAGCCCCGGCAGGCGCCCAAGCTGACCGGCAGCGATCTCGCGAAGCTGGCGCCCGTGGGGGCGGCCTTCGCAGCGGGCCAGGTGTTCCTATGGGCTTCGGGTTTAGGGGTTTAAAACGGGGTTTAGGGGTTTAGGGGTTTAGGGGTTTAGGGGTTCAGGGGTTCAGGGGTTCAGGGGTTTAGGGTTTAGGGTTTAGGGTTGGGGGCTGGGGGGTAGGGGGTTGGATAATGCACAGAAGGCCTTTTGGTTATGAAAGCACGTACCTAAGACATGAATTGTTGTTGGGAAAGCCAAGGACAGAGGGGAGAGAGAGGGGTCTAAGGGTTTGGGGTTTAGGGTTTGGGGTTTCAGGGTGTGGGGTTTTGCAGCAAAGCTTAGTTTTGACACAAGCCCTAAGGTACGTGAACCCAACATGGACTTTACAGAGTACCCCGCAGGTCCCAATTCCAGAATAGCGGGAAAAGTGGACTTTTTCGAGGTGGCCCGCACCAACCATTAAGTTGGGGCTCACGATGGCTGCTTCAAGATAGTTGTGGGAGTTGCGCATCGTATTCCGATTTTTGCCTTTGCATGCGGCTTCAGCACGAGGAGACAGAGGCCCCCCAAAACCCGAAACCCGACACCCGAAACTCAGCAAACCCTGAACCCGAACCGCGTGTCCCGGCAGGTGGCCACTGTTGCCTCGCTGGGCGCTGTCGCCGTGTCCTTTACGCATGTGGTGAAGGCACACGTGGGGAGGGGGAGGAGAGGAGGTTTAGGGGTTCGCGGGCTTGATTCATTTGGCTAAGAGTCTGGCGTAGGGCTTTGTTTAGGGCTCTGAAGGGCTCTATAAACCCTAAACCTTATAACCCCTAAACCCTATAAGAGAGCAAACAAAACATGGGAGCCAGCAAAGCGAAGGCCCTGGAGCCGGCCGTGAACGCCATCGCCTCCGCCCTAGTGCTCGGCCAGGCGCGGCTCGGAAGAGGGCACAAAAGTCGGAGCATGCCAGATGCTCCTGGTCGTCAAACTGATGGGCCTCGTCGCTCGTGTTGAGGGCTTAAGCTGGGAGTCGGCAGATGGGGGCTGCTTAGCCGTTCGTTTCCATTCATTTCCCAGACCCGAAAAGTTCAAGGTTCGAGGGGTCGCCTTCATACCTCGAGGACTCGAGTATGAGCATCAAACAATCCTTGCCTTTGACCAAGCCCACCTGAATTTATATAACCCCCAACCCCCCCCCCCCCACCCCTTTCTGACGCCTTGTATACTAGAACCCCTGTATTAAATCTACCATCTCGGGGGTTCTCCGCCCAAGCCAGGTGTTCCACCCAATGGTCTATGCCTCGCTGCTCCCGGTACCTTGGCATGATTCCTTCACGGAAAACCGTGAAGATGCCCCTTGCAATGGACCCCCCTGAACCCTAGAACCCCCCTTGAGCCCCGCATCTCTTGAAACCCTACTAGTGCAAGCCGAGCCCTTTACTTCCTCAGCCCCTTTCAAAGTCGGGGTGTTCTTTGAGACCTAGGAAGGATGTAAGGAGCCACGCATCCAAGTCCACCCCCCCACCCCTCCCTATAAGGCAGAGCCGCATCGTCGAAGTAGAACAGGTCCCATAAAACTCATAAACACTCATTCTCTTGAGAGCACATCTGCCTTTCGAGTCAGGCAGAATCAGCTCCCACAGCATTGCCAATGCTCGAGTGGATGGTCTTACATAGGTTAGTAGGCCTCCATGAAATCGGGCAGCTCAGCGCCTCAAAACCCCAAGCAAGCCGAGCTTTCCAGGTCTTTGCCGGAGTGGCGCTGGCTTCGTCCAAGGACAGGGCATCCTCCGCATGATCAAATGTTTTGGGGCTTGGGGTTCATGGTTATGGGATTAGGAGTCAGGGTTTTGGGTTTGGGTGCGGGCTTCAGTCTTTGAGAGCTCGCGCTTCTTGAGGCTCTCTGTCCTTACTACACTGGTCTTCGTGGGACGACTCATCAGGATTTTTGGATCTGCGTGCTGGCACTCCTGGGGGCTTCTTGCGATTTCAAGGCAACTTATGTTGACGAGCCTTTTGATTCGTCAACCTTCATTCAGGCCGTGGGTTTCTCGTGAACGTAGCACCTCCCGGCAATCAGGCCCAGAGCTTGTCAGATCGTCAAGACGATGCCCATGATCTGAACAGTGGAATCCCAGTCGAAACTCCGCCCCAGCGCACGCACAGGAGCTGTCCTTCACCATGCAGGGGGCCTCAGCACTGGCGCCGGCTTCGAAATGGTTTGAAGGCATTTTGCCTCTTCAAGTACTCCTTGCCAAGTGTCGGACTCCAAGCCAGGCCAGAGAGGCCCCAAAACTCAAAAATCCCCCGTAGAACCATACCAGTAGCCCCAAACTCCCCAGCCCAAGGGATCCTAGAACTCCTAAACTCTCCCCACCCTTTGAAAAGAACCTGGCAGAATCCATAGAGAAAGAGGTGTCATGTTGTTTAGTGTCTCGGATGTGACTGTTGCAGTGTTTTGAAGCTGGGCGCTGGCTGCAACATGCTGCAATCCCTTGAACCCTCTAAACGCCAGAGAGACCTGTTGAATTAATATAGTATCATACTCTTACAGGGGTATCAGGCGACACTGTTTCTCGCTTTTCTTTGGGGGAGGGAGGGGAGCGATGGGGCAAAGGTTCGGCTTCCTGACGGCCATGGCCTCCAACTTCTTCTTCGCGGCCTGGCCAGAAGAGCCTTAGGGGTTTGGGGGTTTTAGGCGGTTTGGGGGGCTTGGGGGGCTTAGCGGGTTTAGGGGTTTAGGGGGTTTAGGGCTCGGGCTCAGTTCGCGGGGCAAGGGAAGGGCCGCGGCAGCGAGACGAGCTTTCGTCGACCCTACATAATGCTGAAACACACGTGGGAGCAACGAGGGGCGTAGTAGGGCGATGCAGCATTTCCAACTGCGCGTGGCGACCGAGGACACTAACCCATGACAACCCTGCCTTCATTCAGCCACGGAAAGATCCACCCCAGGTGACCCGAAACGTCCTGGCCACGAAGTTCGGCGATGTCGGTGACATGGGCGAGGCGGGAACTGAGGGTCACCGAACACAGTTTGGGTGCTGGCAGTTCAGGAGATTGCAGGCTCAGCTTTGCTGGTTTTTGTGTTAGGAGCGGGGGCGGTCGTGTTCCCAGGATTTCAGTGGAGCTGCTTCTCCCCCAGCTCGAGAAACCCTCCGAGAGCCACACATGGCCAGTAGCTATTGGCTCAGGCCCCCCAGGCCTGAAGTCGGGTAGAAGCTCTGAAGGTTGTGCACTACCCCCTGATGCAGCCATAGTAAACGGCCCAAGGCTATGAATTGAAGCAGTCTCGCTGCTACTCTTGGGTTTGCAAGGAGAAGACACAGAGGAAGACCAACCAGCTGGCCGTCCTCACGGCTGTCGCCACTTCCGCCCCCTGGCAGCAGGGCCAAAAAGGGCGACTTGGCACCTTCAAGCACGCAGAAAGAGTAGTCACCCAGAATTTCCTGTCTAGCTTTTTTCAGGCTCTGATGTTGGGAGATTGTTGAAGGGAAAAGGCGTCTCCCAGGCACAAGGGAGACCGTGCACAGGAGCTTAAAGAAGTGGGGCCTTCTCCGCAAGAGGTGCTTCTGCCAGTGGTGCTCTTCCTCCCGGGCGGGCTCCTCTCCATACCCAGTGCCTGGAATGCCGAGCCCTCGGCACTGCACAACAGGCCTTTGTTGCATCTTAAGTCTTAGTCTAGGGGGTGAGGGGACGCTCCCCTACAAGACAGAATTCCCTCCACGAAAAAGCAGCAAGGAGCTTCAAGCTCGGGGAGCAGGGTCTTGCAGGGGGTTATATTGAGGATGGTCGAGAGTTTCGGTGGGTGCGGAGGGTCAGCTGCACAGGATCTGGCAAAGCCAGCCAGAGTCATTTTCAGGAGGTCACGTCGTGTCTTGGTGTGCTTGATGGTCATAGAATCCACACTGTCCAAACGGCTGAAGACTCCTCCATGTACTGAAGCACCGCCTCAGCCGCGAACTCTAAACCCTAGTCCCTAAAGCCTAAACCCTAAACTCCAACTCGACGATGTCCAGACATCCACAGGCCGCGTTGGCCAAAGGTGTCACTTCAAAGAGCCTCGGGCACAGGGCCCAGATTCAGTGAGTTGCCTTGGTGGGTTCCTTTTGGCTGTGGAAAGCATGCGCCCCCCCTCCCCCCCCCCCCCCCCACGCTAAGTCCTCGAAGCCTCCCCTTAAACCCCGAAGTTCCTAAGCCCCCAAAAGCAGCGAAGCCGAGGCTGATGCTGGCGACTTCTGGGTTCCACTTCTTCATGCGACGGGCCAAGCCTCGACAGGAGATGGGTTGCTCCCTACGGATGGTACCCTTAAGGACACCCCCCCCCCTCTCTTTTGTCCTAGGGAGGCCATTGTACCCCCCCCCCCCCCCCCCCCCCCCATAGAACTTCCGGTGGACTTGTTCATGAATTGAGTTCCATTGTAGCAGAAGCGCCTGGATGATTTCTGTCCTCACACTGCCGACTTCCAATGAGTAGAGAGTGGAGGGGGTGTGGGGTTGTGTCTGTGCAATAATTTGAGCAGGGGAGGGCTTCTAACGCCCGTATAGTCACTCTGTCAGGACCTTTGTTGCACCCCCAAACCCGTTGAACGCTCTATGTAGGGTTTAGGGTTTACGGCAAACCTTTGTCACCCTCACCCTTATATGCCCAGGTATCAGCTGTCGTCGTTCTGGGTTCTGTCCTGCGTGCCGCCCATCACCCACAGCGCCCGGGCACCCGCAGTCGGTGAATTCGGGTCTATAGGGTTCAGGGTTGAAGGTCCCTCTTCCTACTCCACCAGGGAATGTACTTTAAAAGCTGCGATATCTGAGCCATACGTTCGATCAGACACATCCACGGAATGACGGGACACTGGCTGCTCTTGTCATCCTCCTGCCGAAGCTGTTGTTTAAGAAGAGCTATGGGGGACGGAGGAACTGGGGAGCCGCATCTGCCGGCACCTGAGTAATACAAGGGCCTGCAGAAGCTAACGGCTGTGTCCCCTCCATGTTCCCCCGAAGTGATGTTTAATATAGACCACCCGGAGTACCGGCTCTAAACAGGGCCGGCACACTAAAGTAGGTTTGGACTCCAAAGCCTCCCAGCAGCCTCCCCGAACTGGGATTCAGGTTCACAGAGGTGTCAGCGCCTCCTCTTCTCAGGTCCTGAACACCCTGAAGCGAGTCGTCATCATCGTCGCACCTCGGCTGCCTTTTCAGAGGCTTAGGGCGCTGAGGGCCCTGGAGGTGGGAAGGGCGTTTTTAAGCCACAGCTGGTTCCCTGAGTCGGTGTGGTTTTTGTTGGGCCAGCCTGGGCATTCGTGAGATGGCAGGGTGCGGTGATGGGCCAAGCTGCAGCTTGTGGGGGTTTAGGGTCTGGGTTGAAGCGGGTCACTAGGTCACTAGGTCCTAGGTAGTCTCTTGGCATACATGTAGCAGCGGATTGTCTAACGGATTTCAGAGTTAAGGAGCCCACCTAGGTCATGTGTTGGCGGTCTTGTGGGTTCCGGGTGTGCACTACGATGCCTGTTCTGACCGCGCACCCTGCGCAGCAAAGGGTACCCCTTGTCGGCTCCCTAAAAAAAAGGAGGAAGTCTCCTATATTCGAGGTCTCCATCATCGTCTTCCGAACACCGGTGACCCCGCAGAGCGCCGCCGGTCTGGGACTGAGAGCTCCTCTCTTGGCTCCTCTCGGATATTGGGGGGTTTCCGAACATAGGGGGTGCCCTTCTTGGGGGTCCCGTTAAGGGGATTCTATTTGGGGTATACTGTAAACGGGGTGCCCCCATTTTGAGAAATACCCGTATGTCAACCATGCATGTGTATCTAAAAGAAACCACAATTATGAGGCGGGGTTACTCGTATCAGGCGACCCTAGTATTTAGGTAACCAAAAAGGGACCATCATTTTGAGAACTGATCTTGTATATTCTTGCTAGGTTATCGTGCCCAACCGGGCTGTTCTTGACAAAGCCTGTGCGCAGGCACCGCCATTGCCATCGGAGGTGTCCTTCTGTACTCGCTGACAAAGGCGCAGGGCGGGGACTCAATGCCTTGTGGGACCCTACCGGTGGTCAGAGGTGGAGATGTGAGGCAGGTTAACTACCCCTATCACGGAAGGCAATGTTACACCATGTAGAAGTGAGGTCCGCTGTGAAGATAAGTCTGCCGGCATAAAGAAATCTCTAAAGACAGGTGGCCAAAATGGAACCATTCCGATTCTTCGATGTTTGGGCGGGGGTGGGCCGGGGGCAAAAATCCAAGACCGCAGGCGCACTACGCAAAGAAGCAGGGGCCTGAGAAGGGACGAGGGTGTTGAAGGGTTGTAGGGGGCGTCTGAGACTTTTGGGATCTTTGGGCAGGGTAGGGTGGATGCTGCTCTGAGTGTTGATGGAGGGGATCCGGGAAAGAGCAGGCTGCAGCCAAGCCGAACAAAATCAAGCTTGAAGTGGTCGTGGGGTCATTTCCTGCCTTAGAACCTTGGCTGCTGAGTAGAATCGATCATTCGACTTCTTGGGGTAGTGGCAAGCAGCCTCTTCCTTATAAACCGACGATAGAACATGCCGCCATCCCGGACTTCGCACTGGATGCCCCCCCTTCGGCGCAAACTGTGAAACTGTTGTGGTTGACTCATGCCGCAGAGGCTGCCATCAGGTTTCTTGGAAGTCTACAGGGTAGAAATATGGTGAAATCATAAGATCCACCGAGACCCATCCCCCGACCCCCGGCCACAACAGATCCATCCCCTGACTGTGAGCGCAACAGAACCTGGGTTGCAAGGTGAGACGGAGATGAGCCGATGTCGCCGTGCGGGATACAGCCCTGAAGCCAAGTCCCCCCCCCCCAACCAGCCCAGCCTTTGATGCAGATGCAAAAACTGCCCCGCACGCGTATCTCTCTGCCAATCACTGCCACCAAATCTAACCATTCTTACAAGCCACAGCTAGCTTGACCAAGCAAGGCTCCCTCCCAACACAACTGCACGTGTGATCTGACGTGTCTCTCGCAGAAGACTTGCAAAGTGTGTTCATCGTGAGGGAAGCCTGCCACCCCCTTAACGCTCAGCTCGAAACGTACGAAGCCACGTCTTAGCAGCCTCGAAGCCTTAATGAATTAGCAGCCTACGCACTTCACTTGTGACATCCCCAAGCACCGAGCCGTTACGGCTGGTTTTGTGTGCCAACTCAAGAGCCACTCGGCGTACATTAGTTTGGGTCGGCCGAAGCCAAGGCTCAGAAACCCCCGTTCCTGGGGTTCCTGCACAACAGGGTGTTTAGGGTTCGTGCGGGTTCCAGAGATTTCTGAGAGTTTAGGTTCAGGGTTGAACAGGGTTTTCACATTTAGGGTTTCTGGGTTTGGAAAAGCCCTAATCCCCTAAAGCCGTCATTCGGTAAACTGTAGCAACTAGATAGCCCTATAAACTCGACTAGAATGCCCTATAAGCTTTACGCGTAGACCGGTCATTCCGCCGATCCAAACCCTGACCGGGAAAGCCCGGCTGATGGGAGCCGTTTGAACCATCTTGCTGGGTTGGGTGCTCCGAATACGACCTGCAACAACAATCTTCCCAGTTCCTTGTGTTTGCAGTTTTGTGTTTTGAGGGATCAGTAAGAATTGTGAAGCCTCTCGCGAAAGGGTCAGTCGTGGCCTAGCATGAGACTGGCAGTACGAAGCTTCCAGGGTTTCGGGGACATGTTCTTGCCACGCTCGCCCTGCACCCAGCAATTTTCCAACAGGAGGCCTCCCGCCTCAATCGGTTTCGACTACTCCCCAGGCAGTTCACTGCAAGATCCCGAGCCATTCTGTCATCAGATTATGCTCTGGGTTGCAGGCGCCATTGTTTAGTTGGATTTCCAACAGCTTAGACCTTTGCAGGCTTGGCATTTCGGCCACGTATTCTTGAGGCTCAGAAGTGCAGAGGCTTAGTTTCAGCCCAGGAGCGTGGCGACGGTTGCTTGGAGCAGGGCTTTTTTGATCCAGGGGTGGATATAGCAGCAGTGACCTGAGTGGGAGCTATGACATTGAAACGCTTGCCCAAAGGCTCGTGCCGAGCAGGGCAAAGACAAGCAGCACAAGAGACCGTGGGTCTGGCAAAAGATCGCCCCTGGGAGCTGTGCCAGCTATGCGTTGACTTCAGTTGTTTGGGGATCAGCCCGAATTAAGAGACGTGTGCGGCTGTCTGAACTTGGTGAAGTGTTGAAGTCTTGAAATCCCACAACCTCAAGCACCTCAGACTCCCACTTGGTCATGACTTTCAACGGGCTTTCGGGTGGGTGGACTGGTCTACTTTCAGAATCACTGGGGCAAAGCAACTTCAGCCGTGGAAGCACAGGGAGGGACGGAGAGAGAGGAAGAACACAGAGCAGGTCTGGAATGCACAGGCCTACTGCACAGGCCTGTGCGCACCAGCCTTCGCAATGCCAGTCGCAAACGAAAACCGAACCAAAGCTTCAGGGGCACAATGCCAAGGGCCTGTGAATCCCAGAGAGCCCCCATGGAGCATGAGCCGAGCTCCACCCGGCCGCGCGGCCGGAGGCCGCCGAGCTTGTGCTGATGCCTTTTTGGACAGGTGGAAGGTTGCACCATACTTACAAGAGGCTAAGGCACCCGAAGAGAAGCTGATACGAATCGTTGCTGCGCACCCCAAACTGTCACTGTTATGTCGTGGGTTGTTCGCTCACGGGCCATGGGTGTGGATGTCAGAGACTTGATCAGACAGACCTTGGTTAATTCTCGTTTGAGAAGTCAAGCCTGGGTGAAAGGCAGAGCTTTTAGGGCTAAGGGGTTCAACGGCTTAGGGCGTAGGGAAGCCCCATGCCCTCAAATCGTCCACTGCGTGGTTTGTACAAGCGTCCGGAGCTTAGGGGGTCATTTGGCCAGAAACATGGCCAGCTGATGCTCATGATGCTCGCCCCCCGCCTCGTCCCATCTGCGCAGTCACTGGGGCGAAGGGTTTTGCAAGCGTCCGGAGCTTAGGGGGTCATTTGGCCAGAAAATGGCCAGCTGATGCTCATGATGCTCGCCCCCCGCCTCGGCCCATCTGCGCAGTCACTGGGGCGAAGGGTTTTGCAAGCGTCCGGAGCTTAGGGGGTCATTTGGC